GCTTACCCCTGGTGCCCAGGAAGATGTAAAATTCTCGTTCTTCTCCAAGCAATGTTTAACAATATCATCTTGATCACGACGGGCGAAGCCACTCTAGACATGACTTTTTGAAGGTTAAGTCCTAGGTTCCGTTTCGGAGTTCTGCTTAAGAGCTCAGGGGTCATGGTCCATCTGCTGTCCCCTAAAATGATATCATCCCTGGGGTCCACCGGACGCAATCACACTACAACCAAGCAGGATTTCAGCAGGTGTTTTTGATTCACTATCACAGGGGAGAAATTCCTGACAAGTTCATATTGCTGGTGGTGGTGTTGCCATGTGCCGGCGAGGTGCAACTCACAGCAAGCCTACGTACAGCAGCTCTGTGACCTGCCCTGTCTGAAACCAGTCTAACTGACTCTGATGCACCTACCCCCATTACCACCTACTCCCTTGTTTTCTGTGTCAATCTATCTCATCCAGGGTCTTCCTCTCCTGCACTGTCCCTCCACCCTTTCAAGCATGATGTCCTTCTCCAAGAATCGGTCCCTCCTGGCCATGTGCCCAATGTAGGTGGGACAGAGCTTCAAAATCTTAGCCTCCAAGGAGAAACATAGTTTCACCCTCTCCTAGACAGACCTGTTTGTTAATAGTTCAGATTATGGTGAAGTTAATATTATGGTTGCATTTTTCCAGGGTCCCCAGAGGAGACACTGGTGCACCTATTCCGGAGGACCTTTTGGAAATGTGAATCAAAGATCTTGCAGAAAGAAGTGTAAAGTCATTCATTCAGAAATTCCACTTCTGCTCTTTTGTCCCTAAGAAAATGATTAAAGTTATACCTGAAGGGTATTTCTTCATTAAAATAGTATTAGCAACACAGAAAAATGGGACACGTTCTTATTGTCCAACAGTAACTCAACATCAAGGCATGGCTGTCAAGTTACTTCAGTGTCCTGATGACCCTACGAGGCACAGCAGAAGCGCCCACAAGTTTCAACGTGGTATATCTTCACACAGGCAGACTGCCCCAGCTGTGTCCTGTGCAGCGTCTGGGATATTCTAGAGAACGGACCACAAGGCTAGCAAGAAAGCACTTTAACCACTGCATCACTAGGGCTCCTGTCTGACAGGAGGAGGCTACTCAAATCAATGGATCACAAACCACTGTGCCAGTGTGGTGGTGGTGGTGGTGGTGGTGGTGGTTGTGTGCTGTAGAGTCAGAACTGACCCACAGCTGACCCTCCAGCAGGTTTTCAGAGGCAGTTAATCACACGGGAGGAGACTGTCCATCCTTCTCCCATGGAGCAGCTGGTGGATTCAAACCACGTGCCTTCGGGATTGCAGCGCAGCTTCTTGCCACTAGGCCACCAGAGCTCCTACCATGCCAATCACAAAAACTACATCTTAAATTTTACTATGAACTTTTTTCCTCTCCACTTTATTTTTCTTTTAGTCTGTGTACAAACTCATATACATTGTGTATCTTTCATGTACACTGTGATTTTCCTATTCCTCCATTCACACTGTGTCTTCTAAACTTAATCACCATTGATCTGTGCCTGCTATTACCCATTTTCTCAAGTTCCTGCTGGATGTTTCCTAGTCCCTTCTGTTGTCCATCAGTAAACAAATGGATTGAGAAATTATGGTACAGTCACACAATGGAATCCTATGCAGCACAAGGGAGTAACAATTTCATAAAATACCATATAACATGGGAGAGCCTAGAGAGCGTTACACTGAGTGAACTAACTCAGTCTCGTAAGGACAAATACTGCATATGACCATTATTGTTAAAATAGGATTACTAGTAAGATACGAATAAAAGCCCAAAAGGAAGGGTACAAAAGAGGAAGAGGAGGGTGTGGGGGCAGTGGGTGAAGAGAGGAGGGAATAATTTTATTTTACTATTAATGCTTAAAAGATAGGTAAAAACTACTGTACAACATATAACTCATACTTCTGTAAAAGAAAATAAAACAAAAAAATAAAGCATAATGCTTTCTCAATAGTTATACAATAAATTCCCTATGAATATTGATCACTTTTTAGGTGTGACATCTGCGGTCACTTTTTCTTTTTTTTGAAAGCTCAAGTCTCGGTCTTTGTAGGCTGTTGTTTGATTTTTTGTTTGTTTGTTGTTTGTTTGATCAGTTGTGTGGTTTGTCACTGTCCTGTCCCAGGAAGCGGAAAAGCTGGTCTCTGTACTAGGGCCATCGCGACAGGACAGCCATCAAAGGGGGCCCTCGTGGGCAGAGTCCAGCAGCCTGTCTGAACTCCCATCTCTTTTCAAAATACACCAGCATTCCCCCCTGCACTGCTTACAGCGTTTATTAAAGTGGTCTGTCCTGGTATGGGTTTTGTTTTTGTTGGGGTTTTTCCTAAAAAAAGAGCCCAGATCCCAAATTAAAATGAGAGGTCAGAGAACGAACTGATTGGAATGGCGTGTCCTGTACAGATAGTTGAACGGCTCTATGTGCACGTCCAGCATTTGCACAAGAAGAGGCACGTTGGACAGTTTCTGTCCCCAGGACGTCAGAGGAACAGGGAGACTGATCTACACCACGTCCCCTTACAGCTTTCAGACATGGAAATAAGTCAACCTTTTCTCAAAGAAAGGGCTGTCTTTTCACTTGCCTCCTCGGTGACCACTGGGGAAAATGGTTTATTTACAGATTGCACAACAAACGGGCAGAGGAAAGTGGTGTTTCACCCAAGCCTTCCCAAACCTCAGGATGAACCGGAGCGGGGTCAGTTGGGGTGAACAGCCACTCAGCCTGCTGGGTGCACAAGCATTTCCACTTTCTGTCCTGTTGCCAGCGGTTGCCCTGGCAACTCCCCTAATCACCACATCTGAAGCTCCTGGAGGGTGGGGCCTTCTGCAGAGCCCTAACACCGCCCACGGGATACCAGAAGTGGACGGTACTAAGTCCTTCATGGATTTCCCTAGGCGAGCCTTCCCCTATAAAATAATGTGTACGCTGATGTAAACAACTGAACAGAAAGTAAAACTCACATAATCAGTTTGAGGGTGGGAGTGATATTTAGGTATTTGAGTTATATCTTTAGGCATCTGCTATACGTCAATATAGGACAGGCTTCAGATCTGTGGTTCATAGGGTTACTATGAGTGGTATTTGACTCCAAAGCACATAAAAACAACAACAAAATATGCTATTATGAGGTGCTAGTCAGTTGACCTGGGGCCTCTCTTAAAGCTCACAGGTACTCAGACAACACGATGGACTGAATAAAAAAGTTCCCCCATTAAACCTCCCTGCATCCATGCCCCTTGTAACGTGACCTTGATTCTTGATCCACTCAGAGGATGAGATCGGGTTACAATTTTGTGAGTCTAGACTGGTCTTCTGATTTGTTCTGCTCAACAGAATGTGGCAGACGTGATGGTGTATCCTTTTGGAGTCCATATCTCCAGGAAATATGTGTTCTTATGATTTATTTCCTAGAGTTCTGTCTCTTGCAGATTAACCAGGGCCAGCCCAGTGGAGATGAGACCGTCTGGAGACAGGTGGCGTACTCCAAGCCAACAAGTTGGGAAGCAGCGTCAGCTCCCAGAGGCGGCGTCAACCAGGTAACCTGCAGCCGCCCACAGACACACGGTGGGTGGAGCACAGAGAAGACCCGAGGTTGCCAGGTGCCATCAAGTGAAGTATAACTTATAGCGATTCTAAGTACAGCTAACCTGAACCCTGTCCTATCCTGTGCCGTCCTCATCATCTCTGACACACCCCAAAAAGAACGAGTTGACACTGAATGTTCAGTAAGTACTATATGAATAAGAGCCAATGATAATAAAGGAGTTCAAGCTGCACTGAAGGCATTAGCAAAAAAACAAGGCCTCAAGAATTGATGGAATACCAATTGACATCTTTCAACGAACAGATGCAGCCCTGGCCATGCTCACCAGTTTACGCCAGGAAAATTTGAAGGACAACTCCCTCGCCACCTGACTGGAAGACATCCATATGTGTCCCATCCCATTCCCAAGAAAGATGTTCCAACAGGAAAAGACTTCTTAATGGGGCTGGCCTAACCTGCTTAACTGCACAATGATAAGCCAAATAAACGGCTATTGTTCCAAGCCATTACACTTTAGGATGGCTGGTTGTTACCCAAAAGTCGCTAGCCATTACATCCAGTAGTTAGAAATGGTAATTCTTGTAAGCACAATGCAAAACGGTGTGGGAGGACTCCTAATATTAGCTAACATGTTCGCTATCACAAATGGACCCTGCTGCGGTGAGGTGATGTATAAACAGCAGATCTGAACTATCACACGGAGAATATTCAGAGAAGGAAGGGGAAGCTCACAGCAGCCATAGGCCCTCTGAGCAATGTCTTATGGATAAGGTGAATTTGCCTACTATGTAATTTTTTGATCTTTTTTTTTCCTCTGAGGAAAAAAGAAAGAAAAAGCTCTCTCAATTAAGCTCGTTGGACTAGTTAACAGTTGTGTGACTGGTTCCAAGCGTCCATATACTCTTTGACACACGCTCGACCTCCAGTCTGCTGAGGGTTGGGGTTTTAAACTCAGCTCCCCTGAATTTATGACATACATACAGTAGCCAGTCCCTGCAGGCTGAAAATCATACTGTAACTCAAAAGGCCACGGGGCTGTGGAAACAGCCAGGAGATAAATCCCAGTTTCAACCTTGGAATCTCCACAAGTTGATTCAGCGGGCTGTCAGTCATATTTAAAAATAAAATAAAACTGCGAAGACACCAGACGGCCCGTTCCAAGAGAACCAGAATGATGCTTTTTAAAAGGGTCTTAAAAGGACTGCTTTGTGGGGGTTTCAGAAGAACTCCAGAACAGCTGGCCCCCATCAGTCTTTTCTAGAAGCTTCTGATTTTTGCAAACTGGTGAGATAGATGAAGGGGAGAAATGAAAGCTGTCGTGGGCACGCTCCACCCTGATGCAGACCTCAAGGCGGCCCTTCCCCTGAGTCGGGTGCGTCGCCCCAGAGAGCTGGGGGTGGAGGGAGGTGGGTACTCACTTTACACCCCTCACAGGCGCTGACCCCATAGTGATACCCGGACGACTTGTCCTGGCAGACGAAGCAGGGCTTGTAAACTCGAGGGGGAGGAAGAGGAGACGGCGGGCTGGGCAGGAGCTCCTCAGAGCTGGTGCTCTGCGTCTCAATCGCTGTGAGGGAGAGAGAAAGAGAGGAGAGAGATTTCAGTTCATTCCTTCACCGTGCGGCTCTGCCCCAAATTCAGCAAAAACACTCATGGAGGACAGGCCCACCGTAGCAGTCGTTCTGTCATCACAGTGGTGATGCTATCAATGGTTGTGTGATATGTCAAGTTTACAAACCCACCTCATGGTCTCTCTCACGTGAGATTCACCAGCACACCTCTGAATCACTTATTTTTCATTCCTGTTGTCTTCTCAAGGAGAAAAGAAACCCAGAGGAGAGAGGTGACTGATATAAGATCACCCGGATCCACCACAGAGCTGGGACTCAGACTCTGAGAAGAGGGGTGACTGGTCCACAATCACTCAGGGTCACAGCAGACCTGGGGCTCAGACTCAGAGGAAAGGAGTGACTTATCCAGGGTCACAGAGGCCCACGTCAGAACTGGGACTCAAACTCAGATTTTTACCCCACTGGCATCCCCAGGCTCCTCCTTACTTTCCTGTTTTCCCAACCTTCTGACTCACTCAAAAGCTCCCAAAAAGGCCTGTTTCCCTGTTTTGCCATTTAGCTAAAAGTAAACTGATTGGGGGGTGAGGTGGGGAGAGGGTGGAAAGAAAATAATGTCCAGACCAGTAGCCATTCCACAAGTACAGGTTGAGCACGTTTTATACAGTCACTAGTAATCTCCATTGTTGTTGTTGTTGTTGTTGTGTACCTTTGAACCGGAACCGACCCATCACTGACCCTCGAGAGCGTTTTCAAAGGCAGTTAATTGCATGGGAAAAGACTGCCTGTCTTTAGCCTGCCAGAGCAGCTGGTGGATTCGAACCACGTGCCTTCAGGATTGCAAGGCAAGAAGCTGCACTGTGATCCTGAAGGCACGCGGTTCGAATCCACCAGCTGCTCCACAATCTTGTATACATCTGGGCCTTCATTAATAATATTAGCAAGACCCTTGCTACTCAAAGACGGGTCCTCAGGGCGGCCGTATCACCCTCCCCTGAGAACTGCTGTCAAGTTGGAACGAGCTCCTAGCTGGCTTTCTCCAGAGGCTGCATGTCACCTGGGAGGAGACTGCCCGTCTTTCTCCACCAGGTGGATTTGAATCACTTGCCCTGGTGTCGGCAGCACATCTCCTTACCCACTAGACCAGCCAAGCTCCCAGAGAACTAACCAGATAATGTCATCGTATCAAGCGCAAGCCCAGAACTGCAGACTCAGAATGTACATTGTGCTGGGACCCTCAGACGACAATTAATGTTGGAGAAGGGCTGAACTGGACCTACTGATGCTACCTCCTGGCACGGCTTGTCTCTACCTCAGTGCTCTGCAGTTCAGACAGCAGACAGCACCATCATAAAACTCATTTCCACCCCTCAAAACTACACAGGAATGCACACCCTTGTTTATCACGGCTTTGTTCACAATAGCAAGGAGCTGGAAACAACCTAAGTGCCCATCAACAAATGAATGGATAGAGAAGCTGTGGTATATTCACAGAATGGAATACTATGCTGCACTGAAAAACAAGGAACTCTTGCAATATTATTAAAAATGGGTGACGTGAGGACATTATGCTGAGTGAAGTATCTCAGACACAAAAGGACAAATACTGCATGGTGCCACTGTTGTAAAACAGGACTGACATCGGGGTTGAGGAGAGACTGAGAAAGATGGGTTCAATAATCTATACTGCACTGAAACAGATGAGGGAGAAAACTGTTTAAAAGGGGTACATGATTAGGTATTTTTGTCATGACGGAAGTCCAGTGGACCTGGGGGAAGGGACTGTAAAACAATGAAAGAATTTTTCTTTTACTTTTCGAAGAGCGGAGTGTTCTGGCCTGGGGGGGAGGTGTGGGTGAGGAGAAAAGTGCAACAACGAATGAATGGAAACCCAAAGTCTGCAAATTTTCATTGAAATAATAATTAAAAAAATCTTTTAAAAAGAAAATAAATTTTTTTTAAAAACCCAAAAAACTACATGGGAAATGGGAACTCACACAACTTAAGACTCTGATAGACTTCCCCCCCTTCTCCAAGTTTATGTTCAATGTCAAGGAAGAACTGGGCACACAGTGCCTCCCAGAGTAAACATCTAAACTCTTTGCCATCAAGTCAGCATCGACCGCCGGCTGACCCTTCACTGGCTTTTTAGATTGTCGGTCACACGGGAGGAGATTACCCAGCATTCTCCTGAGGAACTCCTGGTAGACCTGACTGGCCACTGGGCCAGCAATGCAATCTCCTACTGACTACACAGCCAGGCTAGAAATGGTAAAATAACATTCCAGAACCTTCCAGCTTCCAAATCACTCAGCAGTGTTTGGCATATGGCCAGGAGAAGTGCCTCTGCCTGTTGCTTTCCAGATAAGCTGTTCCGCTGACTACAATAAGATCACCAAACTTTTCGCTAGCTGGGCCAAGTCAGCTCTTGTATGTTTTTAGGCCTGGTTCATTATCTCTCACCTCAGATTATTACAATAGTCTCTTCACAGTCCTCCTCTGTCTTTTCCCCCACCTGGGGGGGCCTATTGTTCATAAAAACAACCAAAGGCAACAGTTTAGCCACTGGCCTGTAGACAGCTCTCCCATAGACAGACACCAATGAAAAGTCAAATTCTTCCCTACGGTCTACGAGATGCAGTTCTTGCCTCTTACTTACCCCAATATCACAGAATTCGATTACTTCCCCTCATGTATTGAGTTCCAAAGACCTGATTTTTATCCTGTCTCCGGAACAGGACAAACTCTTAACCCAGCGTAAGAACTCTTGCAGGAAGCTTTTCTCCTGTCTAGAGAATTGTTTGCTCAAGCCATCAGTGTCTGGTTCCATTTGATCACTTAGACCTCAGAGCAAAAGGTTTATTCCTCAGAGAAGACTTCTCTAATTAAACGGCTCCTTCCACTCCTGTCCGCTCTCTAGTCCATTACTTCGTTTTATTTTCTCATAGCACTAATTAGTGTTTATGGTTATTAGGAGGTTTATTTGTGTACAGTTTTGTGGCTTACTACCTCTCTTTACTCTCACTAGAAACAGTTTCAGGACGCCAAGGACTTAGCTGCATTATTTACAAAGCTAGAAAAGGTGCTGGCATTGGGTAGGCAATCAATAAATATTTGTTACATCAATGCATGAACGTAATCCTTTTCATTCACTCTTCCTCATTTCAAACACTAAGTGCTCTTCTAAGTTATTAAGTGATAAAATTAGAAATCAAATAGCTTTCTTATATCAATTTGCTTCTTTAGGGTAATTAATTATCTCTCTGGAATAGAATCAACTGTAATTATGGTATTCTCATAATTCAAAAGAACTTGAGAATGGATTCATTAGCACGTCGTACGTTCTCCTAGACAAATCCATCAGAGTCGTCAGGGGTTGGAACGAAGATCCCTGGATAACGACACCAGTCTCAAACGCATTATTTCTTGCACAAACTGTTCCTACGGGCAGCCTGGCACAGTCGTCAGAAGTGTTGTAAAGAAAGGCTGGCATCTGAAACATCACAGCCGTTTACCAGCTAATCAAGGTATAAATGACAAAATATTTTCCATAGTCAACTAATCAAAAAAGGAGCAATAAAAGAATTGGGGGGAGGAATACTGCTTGTTAAATGAAAACAAAGCTGTATAGGTCTTTGGGCTTTTTCTCTCTTATTGTTGTCAATATTGCTACCAAGGCCAAGGGTCGCTTTGAGGCGTCTACGACTTGACGGCACTTAACAACAATAACAACGACAACATAGAGCTACATTGGTCTAGTGGACAGAAAGTGAAGCTGCCAAGCTCAAGGTGGGTGATTTTAATCAGGCCTGGTTTAAATTATTTTTGTCAAACATTCTTCTAGGTGGTCTAGCACTGGTCTGTGCATTGCTTTACAGAGGTAACTCGTGGTTGCTGTGATGCTAAAGACTGTGACATTGATGTGCCAAATGTGATAACGGTTGCCCATGGTGGATGGACAGTGTTTGGGGAGCTTCCTGATTAAAGCAAGCTTGGAAGCAGGAGTGGCATCCACTTCTGAATGGCTTGCCTCCGGAAACTCTATGAACAGTGCTCCAGTCTTTTGTTCATAGGGTTGCCATGAGTCGTCTACAACTCAATGGCTCTTAACAACAAACAACTGCTGTGATATCCAAACTGACTCAGAGCTGACCCTCTACTGAGGTTCTGAGGCTTTAAATCACACATCTCTCTTTCTCCCCTGGAGCCCCTGGTGGATTCGAACCTCCAGAGAAGGAAGACCTTTGGGTCAGCCGAGTAACAATGGCACTATTGTTGTTGATTGCCTGTTGAGTCAAAAATGACTCAGAGCAACCCGATGAACAAAAGGACTGAAGTCTATGGCACTAAGAGGCCCCTTTGTTAAAATATCCAAAATAAACATACATAATCACCCACAGCCCTTTCCCTAATACCCAGATTTATCATCATATGATATATCCATCTACCTTTATTATTATTATTATTAATTATTGAAGTTTGGGTGAAAATGGACAGAAATGTATGCAAGTTGCAATGCTCTCAACTGTAACAGCACTTCCTCCCTGGGTTCTCATTGTTATACTTCCACCCTCCCCCCCCCATATAAATGTTTTTGGCATATTTGTTTACTTAAGTGAAATGTCTATTTTAGATTCATTTCCTTGTCAATGAATATATTTTCCCCCTCACAACATTCCACTAGGATGAACATCTTTGCAGCTAATCTCAGTACAGCTTTGATTATTTCCTTAAGAGAAATTCTCAGAACTAGAATTATTTGTTCAAAGGGCATGGTTATTTAAAACATTTTTTGTGAGGTTTTAATTTATGTCAATTAATTGACTTCTGGGAAGACAGTGCGCTTTGCTGATGTCAAAGGGATCTTGGCTGAATGCAGAGAATACCAGAAAGATGTTTACTTGTGTTTTATGGACTATGCAAAGGCATTTGACTATGAGGCTCACAATAAATTCTAGATGATCATGAGACGAGAGGGAATGCTGGAAGACTTAATCGC